ATAATAGGTTAGTTAATTTTAAAATATTACATCCTAAATTGGGTGGAATTTAATGATGATCGATCATGTACTGCTTCGTTTAATTCCTACGCTTTCGAACTTGTAATCTTGACTCTATTTTTTTTAGTCTACACTATAATCTTGATATATGCTAATGAAGATTCTTCATCCGTAAAAGAAGAAATATCAAGTTTTCTTGCCAAACAAACATTGTTACCATAGGTGTTGGCCTCCAATCCTCCAATCAAATTATAAAGTAACCTCAATAGCTAATTCATACGCTTCCAAAACATTATGCCCTAAGAGTTTCATAAACAAAATTCCTTCAGTAGGGAGATTTAATGGTTAAAAATTTAAGATTCTAAATTAAAGATCTTTATAAGTTTAAAGTTTGAATATGATAGGAAGGGATTTAGGGAAAAATTTTAAGTTATCTTTTATTATATGACTTATCATCATCAAATATACTAAAAAAATTTGAGCTCGATAAATAAAATTCTAGAAAAGGCTTAATTTATGTTAATCGGTGAATAGCGTATTCTTTTTTAGGGTAAAAAACTTTTTTCTTTTCTTTTTTTAAACTTTAACATATAAAAGTATGACTGTGTATGACGAGTAAACATAACAAGGAGTTTCCATTTGTCTCCCAAAGACCTAATACCTCTTCGATTTATTCTCCCTTAGGCCACTTTACTTTCGTTTTACTTCATTATTTATATATTTATTAATTTTTTTTTTATATTTATGGTCAAAACATTTTTAAACCAACTTTCACTTACCTTGAACTAATTTTTTTATCAAATAATTTTAATGGTGCATTTTCCTAATGTAACATAAAAAACCACACTAGATGTATTTATTTTTTAAAATTAAGTTAAATTTAAAATTATAGTTGTTTAAATGACTTTTAAACATTAATTTTAAATTTTAAATTTTAAATTGATAAATATTTATTTTTGGATATTACAAGTATTTAAATTTTTATTTAACTTATTTTATAAATATTATAAAGATAAGATTTCACTTTTAAAAGTGATAATAATCTTTTTTTTTTTTGAAGGTATAAAAGTGATAATAATCTTTTTAAGTGTTAATATAACATTTAAATGTGATTAAGGAAAAAAAAAGTTACTTTATATCGAGCAAGCACTTTAAAAGTGTAAAAAAAAAAAAAAAAGTTATCGAGACTATCTCGTTTTGTTTCTGAAAGATGTGTTGCCGTATTTGGGCATTGAACGAAGAGTTCAAGTCGTAGAAATCAACAACAAACAGGTAATGATTAGCTAAGCCGCTGCGGCGCCTTCCACGGCGGACA